ATGTGATGACGCTACTAAAGGCGGCGTTTTCATCCTGAAAGACTCTGATTGTACTATGCTGGACTCAGAAAGCATCAAACTTACCTCAGCTCCAGCATAGTGCACTCAGGGTGCAAGCCTTTCTTCAGGTCCTTTTACAGAGTGCTGTGCAATGAAGCTGTGGGCGATGTGGTGGATGCATGGCAGGGATCTCGAGTGGAGCTGACTCATGTGATGGGATCCTTGCTACAAGCAGTGCAACCTCTGGGATGCTGCGAAGTCTGACCATGAAACCAAATGGAGGATAGCATTAATGTATATATTAAAGGTACATGCATGTTACCGCAATACCAAAGTTCAGTGTTTGTTTTTGACAGGGATGGGAAGAATCACCCCAGCTTTCGTCCTTTGTATTGCTGTAATATGAGGTAGTTTGTTGTTGTGGTGATTGATCCAGTTCACCGCCACACAGCCAAGTCTATGCTCTTTAATGCGTTTGCTGGATAAATTCTCAGCTCCAGAGTCCAGGCGAGCCCTCTCTTCTGAAGAGAGGGTTGCAAATGACAGTGAGTACTTCACTGATCAATTCTTGTCACTCAGTTGCTATGGTAGGTGCCTCAGTCGACCATTCGTTTTTGCTGTCCAACATCGTTTTAGTCTGTGGGAATCTATAGTCGTTTCTGTTTCTATGTCCTTCAAGGTGAATTGATCGATTCTGTCAATGCCAAGTGCATGAGCATCGAAGGCCCACTTCTGGCGCGACAGGTCACTTGGACCATGACCAGATATGACCAGATCATGCTGATACGGCTGAATTGAAAGGTATCCAAGTCTATCAAAGTATTGTTGTTTTGACGTACAAAAAATATCACACCCTTAAATTAGAATCATGCAGAATTGCATTTGCGATGAAGAGTCAGAGTCAGAGTGTACTGTAGTTCTGATTCCTGGGAAAAAGGTCATGGAGCATATTATAATCCGTAAGTAATCTTAGAGTGACTTGCACAAGTTGAAGGAGCAGACTCCCAGACATACAAAGAAATCCATCATCCCCCCATCATGGGTGCAATGAAATTATGAAACACCACCTTACCTTAATATCCGTAAGGATGTGCACTTGTTGTTGTTGTTGTTGTTGCTGTTGTTGTTGTTGTTGTTGTTGTTTTGTTGTTGTTGTTTTGTTTTGTTGTTGTTGTTGTTGCCAAAGACCGCCGTTAGACAGATCCACTATGTCACTATGCTTTTCTGAGGTCTTGGTGAGCTTTGGCTCCAAGGAACCATCGCTGCGATTGTGGGAAGCCTTGCCAGTTGGAATCTCAACTCGAACCAGTTCGCATTGGGTAGAAATCATTGGTTAGAATATGCTCAGACATGAGTACTCAATCTGTCGACATTTGTTCACAAAGCTCACAAAGCCCATCTCTTGCATTGAATTCTCACTTACGTGGTTCCAGAAGATAGCCAGATAAAGCGGAAAGGAAAACGGCAAAACCGGCACAATCAAATCGTTCACAGCAGCATTTCCTTGCCATGTCAATTACTTCCAGCAGTTTGCTGGCAAATCTATGATGAGAGCCCATGATGGGCGACCAAAAGATTGGAGGGTTGGAACAATGGATGATCATTGATGATATTGATGGATATTGCTAAGATATCCAAGCCTCCAATAATATCTTTTACAGTAGATGTTTTTTAGATCTTTTTCGGTCCTCGGAGTTCTTTTGCAGTGAAGCCTATCATGTGTGCCTTGCAGCCAAGGTGCTTTCGAAGCCTGGCAGACTGGCAGTAATTCCCTCAGATGTTCTCCAGTGTGGCTGGGAGACGCCACTCACTCTTGCAAACTTCAAAAGATCCACCCTGTAGCAACCTCCAAACAATAGAACAGCAACATCTGAAATGATGGGAACTTACTTTCATTTTGTTTAGATTTTGGAAGGGCTACTATGACTATCCTTACCAAGCTTCCAGAAACGGAATTTTGGCATGCCGTGGAGTTGATAAATCGTAAACCACCGACTTGAGATATGTCTTTGGCCTTCATTCGATGGAAATTCTGGAGTGGTCCTTCGTATGAAGGACGAAGATAAGAACATGTCAAAGAAAAGGGTTGGAGGGAGGTTGCCCCATGGTAATCTAAGTTCTTGTAGATCTCCCCCTTTGCCTAGATCTCATCAGTGGCAACGGAACAGGTTCTTTCCTTTGTTTCTACTTTGCCATTTTCCCAGGCGCAGCTTTGGGCAATGTTGCGCTTGGACGAGAGCCTGAAATCCTTCGGAGAGGTGAGACGTTGTGGTTTTCTCGTTTTTTGCACACAAGTCCTGACTAATTATTCTGGTTCACTGCAAGAGCTGCCAAGATCTCACCAGTGACTGCGTTGAAGGCTAGACATGCGCTTGCTGATGGTTTCTTCCGATGCTACAGTCAGGACCGACGGCGTCCAGGAAACCCTTGCATGGTAGTGGTACCGTAGCCAAATTTGGATAACTTGGGAGGCTTTGCTCAGGTTCTGTACATCAACCTTTTGCAAGGCTGTGGTTTGCATAGCAGGATCACTGAGGTATAAAGCTTTTGAATGCTTTTGGGTGCTTTTGATATGTATTCTCTTTAGTTTTTGGATGTTGGCACGTTTGCATCGAGATCATTGAAGGTAGCAATAGTCACCATGGGACCACAAAGCACAGCGATGCACAGCGGCAGGAAGCAAATGGCAAGAAGGGCACAGCAGTTGCTCGCAATTAGTTTGGACTGGAAGGGCTGGGCTATGCTGGGCTGTTGGATCGCTGTCACTGAGATGTGGCTGGGTCCATCTTCGTGGGTTACATACTGGGTGCCGAATGGTTCAGTTTTGCAACTTTGCATCCAAGGAACTGCGCTTGCGACTTCATTTCTTGCCGGGTACTGAGGAGTGTTGCACCAGATATCACGCTGAAGCCTCGTATCCGAAGCCTGGTATCCTACTCGTACATTACCCTACCATGCCCTACCACACAATGCCCTACCACACAATTTGTTGGCCGAAGAGACTTCTAAGGCTTGTTCTCTTGGAGCTCATTTGGCTTAGACGACAAGCCTTTGGCGATGCTGGGGCATCAGATAGCTGCGATAACAGACATCTCACTTGGTTAAGCCGTTGCAATTGCAGTTGCCAGTCTTTGAGCAGAACCATGCATTACAGTCAGTAACAGATAGCAGCGTGAAAATGTAGATTGTCATACATGTTCAATAGATCCATTATGCATAATTAATTTACATAATGATACACCGATTTCTAGTCCAGAAGTCCAGAAGGAACTTAGAACTTGGATATGCTCAGAGAAGACAAATGGACACAGCTCAACCTGGATGCCCTGAGGCCGCAGATCATGACCTTTGTCCAGGATTTCCAACAGAAGCAGAAGGCTTAGGAATGGCTTAAGAATGGCTTAAGAATGGCTTGAAATTCCTAGTCAAAAACAGCAAAAGGACTAGAGAAATTACGCCATGATCTTGTTATTGTTGATGCTTCGACGGATTTCGACGGATATCTCTGCGGATCCAATCTTGATCAACTGTGCCCCTGTCCCGACAAGTCAATACCTTTTATAGAACCTCAGTTTGCTTCATGTCATCGACGGCTAGCCCTTGTCTTGCAGCGCAGTTATTTTACAAACTAATTACCAAGACCGGTAATACTTCCAATATCTCCCAATCTTGTGTGACTACCAATTTAATTTCATCATGTTCGAGACGATTGTTGGGAACCAAAAGACGTCAAAAGACTAAGGGCCTGGGAATTTTAGACTGTTGCAGTCGGAAGCGAGCGCGCTTCAGGTGGGTTTCCGTGAAGTCTTACGGCAGGCGGGGAATGGACTGATTATCATTATAATATATTATAATAATATATTATAATATAATATACGTATATACTGTAACATGTTATTTGTGTCCAGAGATATAGCCATGTTCAATGCATGTTCAAAGTCAAAGGCTGCCCAAATCGCCCCCAATGTTTGTTTGAGAGCGCTTCTTGAAGAACTGTTTTGCATGTTTTTCCAAGTTTTGCTTTGAATATTTTGTCTGCACAGAGGACCGTGTGAATGAACGTTGGAAATCCTCCATGATGTGAGGAGGTGCTGTTGGCAGCTACGTGCTGGAAGCGTTCAAAACTCAGATTTCACTAGATGGGTATGGATCAATACCTATTAATACCATTTTTAGTGGGATGAACATCCATTTACCAGCTATTTTGATGTTCACCAGGGGTACAAGGTTTTGACACACTGCCAGATTTCAATCAAGTTGCAGTGATGTTGCTGTCTTGAATTGTCTTGACTTCCAACGGAGTTCCATATATAGGTTGCATTGCACTATATTGCACTGCACAGACGGACTGTATAACCTCAAGACCACCAAAGCTGAAGAGTTTGTTGTTGAAATCCAACAATGTGGCATCGAGGTCAGCGGTCAGAGAAAGATACTGCCGGAAAGCCCCATGCATCAAGCCCGTGAAAAGCAGAAGGCAGGTTTACTTTGCAGATACTTGTACATAGCTGCAATGCTCGAACCCATTTGCTGAACATCGCTAAAAATTCGCTGCAGATGTTGCAACTGGCCTTGGAAGGCCTCATGCAGTCTTTCCACTCTTTTCAGCCTTTTTAGAGTTGTTTGTTTCAGCAAATGGAGACAAGAGAGCAGAGAGCAGCCTTCTGCTTAAGCTTGCCAGCTTTAAACTGGAGCCAATGCAAAGTGTGGAAAACAAACGTGGGAGCGATCCCAGACTCGGTTCCCTGCATATAGTGCTGCAAGACATCTTTTTGTTTTGTGCCTTCTTCCGATATTTGCTTTCAGGCAAGCTGCCTGTCAGCTTTCCAGGATTGTAGGATGACAGTGTGAAATGCAAGTCAGAATTCTCTCATAGGCCAACTAGTGTACACTATCTATAGCCAGTGCTATGAAGAGTCTTCACATTTACATCATTTACTGTTCATTTACTCTTTTGTCATCTCCAGGCATTGCTTTGTCAAAATGCCGTTGCTGGTGTCCTGTTGCTGCAGTGTGTTGGATCATAAAATACACGGGGCCATGGAAAGTTCAGCGGGCCGCGAGGGCGATGGCCTGCAGGATTTGACCGTCAACGAGGTGGACGTGACCCTTTCGAAAGCCATGGCACATAGCAACGAGTTGGTGCAACGAGCACGGCAGCTTCAAGCACACTTTCAGCAAGCCCAAAGAGGTATGCTTGAAATCAATCGCTTGTGTGACCAGGCAGATAGCTCCATTGTTCAAGGTCAGACCTTATTGAACCGCTCTGCCCACCGCATCCATGAATTGAAGCAGGCCTTGGAAAGACATCAGCAAGCACTGGGCACAGCTCCAGATATCTCCAGATGACCATGCTGGGATGCACGGTGCATGACATGTGGCGAAGTCGCCAGGATGGCAAGATTTGGCAGCCTCAAAGTAGGGAAATGCCAAGAATGACTGAGAAAGACGTGAGGTCTCACAGCGGAACATCTGCAATAGTCGTGCTTTCTGTGAAGAAAGAGCATTTAGGGAGAACTTGTTGGGCTAGAACATGTTGGTTGAGGACAGTGCAAGTTGAGACTTTGTAGCTTTGATATGCTTTGATATGCTTTGATATGCTTTGATATGCTTTGATATGCTTTGATATGCTTTGATATGCCTGATCAGGTACTCTGCCACTCCGGATCCTTTCTTTTCCCGAAGCGAATTTTAGTCAGGTCGGGGCAATGGGGCCCAACTGGAGTAGGTTTTCCTGCCCAGTCTACGTGGGTGCACGGCTATGGCGACCTGGCTGCAAGAAGTGCTTGCTGTGGATTTGGACTTGCCTCTTCGCGTTCGGCAATCTTATGCAGCACATTCATGTTCCGCAATGCTTAGGAATGCTGGAAACTACAGCAAAAGCGTATCTTTTACTTTGTGAATGCTGTGTTATTGTCCTTAGCTCAGCACGGTCCTTGCAGTAAGCAGCACATCATAGCACTGACGCTGCCAAGAAAACCTTAAGAATCCGTTAGCTATCGTTGAAGTATGTTGGATTATGTTAAATAATGTTCGATTATGTTGGATTCCGGTCAAAGATTTGAAGATTTGGATTTGATGCATTTTGTTTTGGAGAAATTGGATGGTACGCACGCCTCAAAGGTGGAGCGCAGAATCCTATTCTGTTTCTGTTGATGCGAGAGGTGAATTGAGAGCTGGGCTTAGACCCACTGACAGTCACTGACATCCGAATCATTGCGAATCAGCCATTCTATTTTGCCATGTTGCAGTGGTGGAGGGGCCTCTGTCAGTAGCAAAGCACCAGATTGATAACAGACTGTGACAACAGAGCTGCATGGCTTGATCTCCAGCTGCTGCACTTTGATTTGAACAGTCCGAGGACAATCGGAAGGCCTTTTGCGAAGGGACTCTCAATTTACCAATCGCACAGGCACTGGACATTGCGGAGTCACCACGTTGCCGTTACCTGCGACTGGCCGAACAGAGTTGCGTTTGCCTCGAGGCAATGGGGGGACACCGCTGAAGCCCAAGGTCAACACCTGGGGCGGGGGGTCAAGCCTGTGAAATCTGTACTTTCTGCCTGGGGAAACCATGGAAAACCGATGGGATCCATCAATCTCCATTTGGGGACATAATATCATGATATATCATGATATGATATAAATATAAACATATCATGTAATATCCGGGAATGCCACACTACAGTGACTACAGCAAACTTCTGTCAACAGTCAACAGCACGCATGCTTTGCAATTGGGCAGGCCTTGCTGGAGGTGTGGACATTAGGCGGAGCCTTGAATCACAGCGGCTAAACTGAAAGTGGTCAAACCTGAGGTCGACCATAAGACTTTTTGTTGTTCAATGAAGCTCCAAAACAGTCGGAACATGTCGGAACTATTTGGAACTGAGGTCATGAAACGCCCGAGTCATTGCGTACTGCAGAGAAGGAGAGACATGCCATGAGCACGCTGACATATGACGCTTGGCCGACATTGTGGCTATAGAACGTGTGAATGTAATGAGTGGCAGAAGAAGTCGGAAGAGCTGGCCTTGTATGCCTGTGATCTTGAATCCACAGAACCAACACTGTAGGCCTGTATCAAACTACCCAGGAATGCTCACCAAAATTTCATGGGTTAGGCTAAAGGTGCATGAGGTGAGAGTAGTCTACGAACAAGCCTGCAGAAATTGAAGAAGCTCAAAATTCTGGATTTTGGACTTTGCGGATTTTCAGGTTTGGTTTCCGATGGCAGCTGTCATGGCGATTCTCTTCGAGGCAGAATGATCATGTAACATCATGTAACATGTATGATATACTGTATATTTTAATTACTATATATGAGTAACCGACAAAATTATACAATACCAATTTAGTCTTGCTTCGCCTTGGCCTTTCGGAGGTTGCACAAAACCTTGATAACCGATAGGGGACGACCCTATACCGATACCCTATGTGTGATACCTCAGGGAATACTGAAATCCTCACAACCGATAGGGGACGACCCTAATTTGTGCATGGCATTAAATTTAGCATATAATTTTGTCCGCTACTCATAAACAATAATAAACATTATATATATAATTACATTGCAGAGGATACTCGAGAACAGAGAGAGAGAGAGAAGAGAGAGTTTGAATCTGGTTGGCACCCTGTTTGCATACAAGGGTCAAAGATTTGTGGAGCATTTTCCTATCCTTGGCGCTACTTGTCGGGTTGAGAATCATATTATTGCAATATTATTGGTGTGTCGGCGAATCCGGAAAGGTTTGGCACGTTCTCGCACATGGCTTACTCATGATTACTCTAAGACTTTGTATTATTTCAAAGAAATCTTTGTAACAGCAACTCAGCGGGCAACAGCTTTGGACAGTAGGGCATAACCGGCCAGGCGTTTCATCTTCGATGGGCTGAAGTCGACTGGTCTTTGCCTTTGGATCGCAGTGATGGCCGAGAAGGCGGGCCAGACTGACAAACCAATCCATGGATGTTTTTGATCATTGGAAGGTACTCGGAAAACTTGCAAAGTATATCACACACATATTTAAATCTACTATAAGTAATTATAAGTATGCACATACAGATATATACAGTATATATATATATACACATAATATACATACAGATTACAGATATAGATTATAACCTAGAAACAGTGCAGAACTCTTCAACGATATTGTCTGTTCCAACACCAATCCATTGATCTGCCCCGCTCGACGTTGAAGGCTCCGAGAAGGTGGACAGCAGTTTTCGGGGCTTGACGCTGCGTTTGGCGCAGCGTGGGTGCCATTTGGCTTGGATCTATTTTGTCTCCTGGCAAAAGATGAAGAAAATGATGGGACATGGAAAAGCACATGGATATTCTTGGATGCTTTGGCATTTGCCATGTCATTCTCTTTATTTTTTGATGTGATCAAAAAAGGGCGCTCATTTTACTTCACCTAGGCTGGTGCTGGAAGAGTAAAGGGCCGATGCTACTTGATACTTCTGGAAGCTTGGTTGCAATTCGTGAACACAGGACGCATTTTTTGGGCTTTACATGGCAGGCCTTCTACGTCCTGTAGACGCACAGGATAATAGAAAAGCATGTGATAGTTTGTGATGTTATGTAGAGTACCTTGTTGTAGATGTTGCAAAAAAACTGCCAGTGTTTTCTCGTGTTTTTCTTCACTGAGAAGAGAATGTGACAATATTATAGGGAGTCAGATCCTCACCAGAAACCATGTTCAGAGCAAGAACGGATGCTTCGTGCGGATTCTCCAGTTGGCCCTTCGTACATTGCCAAGGTTTGGATACATCTCGTTGGGATGTACCTGGAGCTCCTCACCTTTGATTTTCAGAAAAGGTACTGGAATCTCTATCAGCAACCAAGTCTACCACTGTTTTTTGAGCTTATTCGCAATTGGTTCATTTTGCATATTACCCGAATGATCACGTACGTCTACGAGTTCTACGTGGAGGACATTTTCCTTTTGCATTGGAGGGATCATCTCACCAGATATTTTGAAGCGATCTGGGTGCCAAACACTTATGTCTTCAAGATGAAAGAAGGAGGCAAACTCGACAATCCTGACCAGAGAATTCATGTGGACACGGCCAACTTTGTGACTCAGACGTATTCACTGACATTTGGTGTGATGAAAATGCTCCTGAACTTGCTGATGTACAGTTACATGTTGATGAGTATCACACCTACGCAGATGCACCCTGGATCCTTGGTGGCTATCGCTTTCCTTTACTCTGCGCTCGGCTCCATGACAATTCATCTCATGGGTTCGAAACTGGCTCACTTCAGCTGGCTTGGAGAGCGTTGCGGTGGAGATTTCCGGTCTGAACTGCGGTACTTCGGCAGGGCATAACTTTTTCCAAACTGTGTTAAAGTGTCCCCAGACTTATTCAATCTCATTCATCATTGTAATATTTATATTTTATATATTACATTATATTACATTATTATATATTAGTTTTATCATATAATTATAAACTATAAACACATACGTACACATATTATGGGCAATGTATATTCCAAAGCGAACAGGCGCATGTCTCCTTTAGGCAGTGAACTCAGTTGACACGAGGCGGGTCTATGATCAGTGCGAAAGTGTGGCCAGCTTCAGATCTGACGAGGCTGAGCTCTGCCGTTTGCAGCATCGATTTGAAAGGATCAAGCTGAATACTTGGATGCTCGGCTACATGATCTACATGGGTGTCTGGAAATTGCTGAAATTGGCTATACCCCAAAAATGACCCAAAAATGCTCTTTAATGATATTTAATAGGGAAAACATGGGAAAACAATGATAAACTAGTGGGGTTTTGGGATACCCATTTTCAGATAAACCCTATTGGGAACTGTTCGGTTTGAACAAGTGTTTCAATATGTTTCAATTGTTTTCTGTTGTGGATATTAACATCCCTTTAATATCCTTTAATTTAACGTACCTGGGCCACAGATTTCATGGAAACAGACTGGCACAGCTTCTGGTTCTCCTGCAGTCACGACCTGCTGCGTAATCACAAACCTTTCTAAGCGCACGGTGGTGTTGGTTCTGCCAGCACTGCGATTGAATCCCTGAAGGCAGACCATGCTACTCGAAAAAAGGTTGGCGATTGTGCAAAAATGGTACAGCCCTTTGAGAGAGATTCTCTTCATGTGCATTCTGGCGCCTTTTTTCATCACAGGTGTGGTCAGTTTGGGAAGACTGAAACAATGCGAGATGGCTCTGGATCGTATCAGTGACTCTTTCAGTTTTCTTGTTGAGAACTACTCGAACTTGTCAACATATCGGGCTGTGGTAGACCGACTTTACAATTTTCGATCGAGCTGTTTGGCGTATCTCAAGAGCCGCAAAGATGAGAGAGACGGAGAAGATGGAAGTGAGAGCAACAGAAAAACGGAGCTCGCGATTATCGAACGACTTGCTCCTCTTGGTATACCGCCGAAATGGCCTCCATTTTGGGGTGGCTCTTCGCTTGAAGTCTTGCAGATTCCTCCATCACCTGAGACAGACCTGTCCTTGGATGCATCCATTTATTTGCCGTCTGGTGATTTGCTGATGGAAGATGTTCACATCCAGGCCAGGTCCCTCAGCTTTTGGAAAGATTTCGCAAAAGAATTGACTGAATTCGTAGATGGGTTATGTATGGTTATGTTATGTAAATTTTTGTTGATTCCTTTTTGCTTCGTACAGCAGGACAGCGGATCAAGCTAACGTTTTCATAGCAAACTTACGGCAAAGTGAGTGAGGAAAGGCAGATGCGCAGGCACTAATCCAGAAAATGCAATAGCATCTAAAACAAAAAAGGAAGAAAGGTAAGACACAACCATCACCCATCATCACCCAGTGCAACTTTGGCCTTTGCATTGTTCGCCCACTGCAACAGGTTCCCCGCGGATCTGGTGTCATGATTTGTGGAGAAGAGGGTGCAGGCAAATCGACCATCCTCAGGGCCGTGGCTGGAATGTGGCCCTTTGTGAAGAGATCCTTGTCTTTTCAGAAGTCATATTCATATATCATCATATATCATATATATATATACACATATATAATTACATATACTACATACATATAATGATAGTATTTAATAATAACACTAATGATAGTGATAATAATAGATAATTGTAACTAATACTAATGATATATGTTTGTAATAATAATAAATGGTTGTAATAAAAATGATAATAATATATAATTGTAACGGTATATATATAATGATTAATACTGATAATTACTAATAATAATAACAATAATAAAACATAATATGATATGATATTATATGATATAATATGATACAATATTATATAATATGATACAATATGATATAATATGATATAATATGATATATTATGATATAATATGATATAATGTGATATAATATGAAATAATGTGATATAATATCATATAATATTTTATAATATGATATAATATGATATAATATGATATAATATGATACAATATGATATAATATATCATTATATATCATTATACATCATATATAGTATGTAACATGTAATGTATAATGTATAAGGTATAATGTGTAATGTGTAATGTATGATGTATGATGTATGATATATGATATATAATATAATGTTGATATAATATGATATGATATATGATTTAATATATATATATAATGATAAATGATGATACTGTATATTATCATATTTATCATATCATCATATCAAATAAGTAGAGTTGTATATGTATAAGATATATTCATTCATTTTCACTCAAGACTCTTCAAAACGGTAAGTCTGACAAGAGAGTCCCACCAGGTCAAAGCCCCCACTGGCCATGATGGTGTTGAGTGGGCTAGGGGTGAGGTTCCTTCAACTCGCCTGTGCACCGGATGTTTCTTTGTTTAAAAGCAAGAGATATTGAAGTTCCACAGTGATTCTAGGATTGCAGGGTCTCCGCTTATCTCTGCTCTTGTATTTTCTACGAATAGACTTACCGAGGATGTATGCAATTCCTACCAGAAACCAATCTAGGGGGATGACACAAAGCTGTTGAAAATGAAGAGACAGTTCCACCTTTTTCAAGGGCTCCGCCAGCTCCGCCTCTGGAACCCTGCTTCAGGAACGGATGGAAGGAACGACACCCAGTGCACCGGAGGAATGGCAGACATTTTCTTCATTCCACAAAAACCAGGTTTGCCGTCGCCGATGTCACTGCGAGAAGCTGTGAGTTTTCCTCACAGTGCAGATCACTTTCGAGACGAGGACATTCGAGATGTACTGCAACGCGTTGGCCTCGAGTTTGCACCAGGACTTGTGACTTGGCAGTGAGTTTTGAGGTCAGAGATGTAGAAAGAGATGCAACGAGTGTCTGATCCAGCGGTATTCATGTTTCTTTTGGATTGTGCTGGTAGCTGCTTGTCAGTTTAGGGTTGGATCAGAGAGTGTTGGATTTGCTGATAGGCTGCAGTCGTTTCAAATTCAATCGCTGCCACGCCTCAGGATTCTAAGATTGATGTGAACACTACACTTTCGGGAGGGGAGTTTCAGAGGTTGATGGTGGCACATTGCATTCTTGCCAAGCCTTCTTTCATTTTCCTGGATGAGTTTTGGAAGCACTAGTTGATAGTTGGTGCCTTGAATATCACAGTGGCATGCAAACAGTGGGACAACTGTCCATGCAAAGGATTTTTCAATGATCTTCTGACACACGGATGAACAGCACAAACTTGCTGCGGAAAATGCACTAAGGAGTCCATGGCTCATATGTCCAGAGCAAATCGACTACAGATGTACAAACTCTTGGCAGAATTAGTGCAAAACGGCACCGGTCTCCTGAGTACCAGTCACCCGGTGCAATGGTGCGTGCGCAGTGGAAGTTTGGGTACCCGCTGATGTTGTGAAACTCCCGCTTCCTTGAACAATTCAATTCCCATCGCCAAGATGCCGGTGTTTTCCACTCCAAAATGTGGTTTTCCGTCTGAAGGACGATTACAATACTGTTACAACTTGTTTTGCGATTCAGTTGAGTTCATGCACAAGCTTTCATTTCCATGGCTATCTATCATTATCTATCGCTCGTCAGATGTCAGCAGAGGTCATTGCTGGCAAGAGCTGATCCAGTTTCACAGTGAGTTTTACGTGATCGAGGTGAAGAAGCTGGAGGCCCACAGCATCAGACGGAGAACCCGGAAGTGACAGGGGGACAATATGGGACAATGCCAAAGCCGAATATACATTCATGACTCATGACCATTCATGTATCACTGTGAACCGACTTGAAGCGCGGGGGATATCCATCTATCTGGCCATCCATCTATCCAGCATCTATCCAGCATCTATCCAGCATCTATCCATCTATCTATCCATCCATACATCACCCATTTGTCCATCTATCCATCCACCTACCCACCTACCCATCTATCCGTATCTCCTATCCACCTATCTACCTATCTGTTTGTACTTCTTGCTTTCTTTATGTCTTTCTTATCTTTCTTTATCTCTCTCTCTCTCTATGTATATATATTATAATATATACATCGTATATATATATATGTGTATATTATATAATACATTGTATATATATAATATACTAGTTATACAATATATATATATAGTAATATATAATATGGTTATGTCATTTTCGGATGTTGCTGAGGCATGCCGAATCCCTCTTGTCCGCCCTAATTCACATTTTCGGCCTGGTATGGTGTGGTTTTTTTCTGTCTCCCGAGGATGGCTCGTTCAAACGCAGCCTTGTGCCTTTCCGTCCAAGCGAGCGTGCAGAAGGAGATCTTTGCATGCAGGTGAACGAGAAGGACGGGCGTGTACTAAGTGTACTATGTTATATTGTATGGGTCTGCCTGAAAATGGGCGCCCTCAATATAATATCTATAGATTTAATAATTTAAAGGTGAAAATTATGATGATCAACCATTTGACCATCAAATTTGGGGTGCTTGTTTCAGACAAATGTCATTGGGGGATGCTGGAAGTTGGAAGATGCTGGGAGAGTACTTGTGCTCGCTTGCTGTCAGGACAAAGAAATTGAAAGATTGCGGGAAGAAATAATTAGATTCAGAAAGCGTTCAAAACAGGCATAGAGAAAAAGGTGATGTTAAAATTGCGTATATTTGATTACAATACGCATAATTATTAAAAATACATTGCCTCGCTCTAATATTATGACTGGGTTGGGACGAGACAAGATAATGATAAAACATGCTGATTCGATGCGTTCAAATGCAAAACAAAATACTACTTGATAGTATAATTCATCGGCAAAAAAAATATGTCAAATGTCATCAATTAAAATCCGTATTTAAATGCATAATCGTATTTTATCTGGTGCATAATTTTTAAGAATTCAATCCTAAAAAGGGTATAGTATTCATTTAAAGGGGGAACCCCCATACAAATCAGGACGGACATGGACGGACCACTACACAAAAAAAAACGCATGATTTCGTACGATTCCTACCTTGACAATTCGATTACGATTTGCAGTCAATAGCTTGCAAATCACCTTAGAATTGCACCAATCAAGGTACGCGCCTCGCATTTGACCCTACCCCAATTGTTTCGCATACGACCCTACCCCTATTCTGCGGTAGGGTCGAATGTGAGAAATCGCTTGTTTAGCTTAGGAAAAGGGGTCCAGAATTCGATTCTGCGATGTACACTGATGTCTTGCACACAGGGCGATGTCTCGTTTGTAAGTCCTACATGTGCTCGCTTGTAACTTCAATACGTATCCGCGAGTAACTCGAAAACCATCATCATCATCAACATCATCAACATCACCATGAATCATGACCATGATCATCATGATCATCATTATCATCATCACCACCACCACCACCACCAGCAACAGCAACCTCATTTGATCATCATATCGGTGTGCAAGTGCAAGAGAAAATCTCCTAGCGTAGCAATGCATAGCATCTAGCCTCTGTGCCAGGAGCCAAAGGACGTTATCACATCCATCCCACCCAACCCCATCTCCAGGCCAGAGCCAGGAGAAGAAATGCTAGTATGGCGTCATGTCGGTGTGCAAGTGCAAGAGGAGATCTCCTAGCACGTTACTGACGCGACTAGTCAAGTCAGTTCGATCGGTATATTATATAGGGATATCGGGATATATATGGGATATATATGGGATTTAATATCCCTATACCCCTATGGGTTATATGTAAATAACATAGGGATATTGAATCCCATCTTCCCCCGACCCCTGCTGCGTTCTTAGTGGTGCGGCTCCCCGTGGGATGGTTATATCCGCGTCCCATATACGCGTAGACATAACTTGCGTGATAATTTGTTATTATTATTGGATATTATCGCGAAATTTAAAATAAATTAAAAATAAATTATTACATATATATACACCCATAAATATAATATATATAAATTATATTATGTATATATATATGAATAATAATATTTATTTTAGCTAAAAATTAGAGATAATAATTTAAGAAATTATGGTGTTCCGTATTGAATAATGGGAATTATTGAAATAGGGAATTATGGAATATTATTTAAAATTATTTATTTTATTTTATTTAAAATTTTATATTTATATATATAATTTATTTATTTATATTGGTAAATTGATAATATTGAATAATAAATATTGGAATAATAATTATATATACAGGGTGGGATCGGTTTGGTTTCGGTTTCTAGGAACTGGTGAATTTCCGGTTCCCGGTTCGGTTTGGTTCGGTTTTTCGGGATATAATTTAAAAAACGGTTTGGTTCGGTTTTCGGTTTTTAACCGGTTTGGTTTCTGGTTCCTAACCGGTTCGGAGTAAGTTATGGTCTTGGTATTTGCTTTTTACGGCCATTTAAAAAAGCAAAACATGTTCCTAGTTAGTTGGTTGTTATGATTTATGTTAAGGATACGTTGTGTTAGGTGGACCTGGTCGTGGAGGCTGTTTTCGTTTTTGTAGGCTGCCAAAAAAGCAAATCTAACACGAAAGTACAAGGGTTGTGTTTGTGTTTTGCATAAGGGTTACGCTTTTTCTTTTTTGTGGCTTTCGAAAAAGCATATCTAATACGAGGGCACCAATTTTTTTTCTTTTTTGGCGCTTCTAAACAAAGCAAATGCAATAAAAGGGCACAAGGGTTTTGTTTTTGCTTTTTTGGGGCTGCCAAAAAAGCAAATCCAATAGGAGGGCATAAGGGTTGTGTTTTTGCTTTTTGGGGGCTGCCAAAAAAGCAAATCCAATAGAAGGGCACAAGGGTTGTGTTTTTGCTTTTTTGGTGCTTTCAGAAAAAACAAATCCAATAGGAGGACACAAGGGTTGTGTTTTTGCTTTTTTTGGGCTTCCAAAAAAGCAAATCCAATAGGAGAGCCCAAAAAGCAAATCCAATAGGAGGACACAAGGGTTGTGTTTTTGCGTTTTTGGTGCTTTCAGAAAAAACAAATCCAATAGGAGGGCACAAGGGTTGTGTTTTTGCTTTTTTGGTGCTATCAGAAAAAACAAATCCAATAGGAGGGTACAAGGGTTGTGTTTTTGCTTTTTTGGGGCTTCCAAAAAAGCAAATCCAATAGGAGAACCCAAAAAGCAAATCCAATAGGAGGACATAAGGGTTGTATTTTTGTTTTTTGGAGTATCCAGAAAAAAACAAATCCAATAGGATGGCACAAGGGTCGTGTTTTTGCTTTTTTTGGGGTTCCAAAAAAGCAAATCCAATAGGAGGGAACAAGGGTTGTGTTTTTTCTTTTTTGGTGTTGGTGTTTCTAAAAAAAACAAATCCAATAGGAGGGTACAAGGGTTGAATTTTTGCCTTTTTGTGGCTGCAAAAAAAGCAATCCCAATAGGAGGGCAGAAGGGTGTTGTTTTTGTTTTCTTCTTTCTTGGGTTTCTAAAAAAAACAAATCCAATAGGATGGCACAAGGGTTGTATTTTTTGTTTTTGTGGTGCATCCAAAAAAAACAATAGAAGGGCACAAGGGTTGTGTTTTTGTTTTTTGGGGGGCTTCCAAAAAAAACAAATGCACTAGGAGGGCACAAGGGTTGTGTTTTTTCGTTTTTGGTGCTTCCAGAAAAAATTATAAGAGGGCACAGGGATTGTGTTTTTCCTTTTTTGATGCTTCAAAAAAAACAAGTCCAATAGGAGGGCACAAGGGTCGTGTTTTTGTTTTTTTTTGGGGTGGGCTTCCAAAAAAAAACAAATCCAATAGGAGGGCACAAGGGTTGTGCTTTTTGCTTTTGTGGTGCTTCCACACAAAAAAAAGTCCAATAGGAGGGCACAAGGGTTATGG